GAAAAAGTTTCTCTCTAATTTTCTATACCTTTCTAAATCTTTCTTGTAAAACCCGTCTCCTTAATTAGCTGTTCATTCTGTGGTTTTCACTAATTATGTGTTTATATGCGTATTCTATGTTTATCTCTGTGTTAAGTGTATCCTATGTGCTATATGCATTATGTCTTGTTTGACAGATACGTTAATTTATGAAAAAGACCTGTTTGATTCACTAAATTGTAAGGTTACAAACTAGATAAATTAATCCAAGCCAAGTAATTAGATAGTTTATATATATATTTGAAATCAAGAGAGAAATAACCTGAGAGAGAGTAAGAGAGAATTCTAGAGACTCAAAGAGAAAGAGAGCGATTAGGGCAAAACCTTCACCAAACTAACTCTTTAAGGTAAGAATCCTTCCCAATTTCTTGCATTTGAGTAGTTTTCATCTTGTACCCATGGAATTTAAGGAGAAAATGAGGGATTGGGTAGTGTGAGTTATGTTAAAGACCCTAATAAGAGGAATTCTCCAAAGCTTAGATTATTCAAACTTACTCACTTGGTCTTGCATGGCATTTACATGTTTCATTTCTTGTTTAGCTTGGGTTTTGAGTTTGATGAAGGAATTCTCTTGGAGTTTTTGTTATCCTTCTCAACTTTAAGTTTTGATCTTGTATTTGGGCTATGAGTTTTGTTTTAAAGGTATGATCTTGGTTGGAAGGTAGAATTTGTTCATTTACCTTGTTTGAGTCAGTTTTGAGCCTTGTTTTGTACAAATTTGGGTTTGATTTTTGGGAATTTAAAGCTCAAAAACAGAGTAGAATTTTTAGTTCTGGAACACCCAGAACCGCATGTATAGCTAGGAGGACTGTATGTGCAAGGAGATGTGGCGCACGTGCGGCGAGGAGGCCCACACGTGCGGAAAATTGAGGAGGAAAAGAAAACATTATGAAATAAATGCACTGGCTGGCATACGTGCGACGCATGTGCAGTGAGAGTCCCGCACATGTGGCCAGGGTACTCCGCACGTATGGCGGTTTGGTTGGTTCAATTTCATTTTTCTACTTCATTTGTCTCTCTTCCGGGCCTCCGTTAGGATGGTTTTCATATGTAGTTGACATTCTTTTGCATTGCATAAGCATTTAAAAAGAATAAGGGGCGATTAGATCAACCAATTATTAAATAATAAAAACAAGTAGTTGGTTACAACCGATTAAGTGCCTGTTTGTTAAAACTTATAAGCTGCTTATTTTAGCTTTTGGCTTAATTTAAGCTAGAATGTTCTGTTTGGTAAAAATTAAAGCACCAGATTATGGCTCAGAAAAAGCTATTTTGAGCTGAATTTTAGAAGTTGCTCCGGAGATGCTTATAGATTACAGATTAAGCGCGCAACTATTTGGAGGGGCATGAAATGACTTAAATGCCCCTTTAAAACTTCGACAATTACGATTATGCCACTATATAAGCCTTCTTTTATTGCCCTAGCCCACGGAAGACGATCCTCCACATCTCTCTCTTTTCTCTCTCTCTTCATCACTCTGTCTCTCTCTCTCTCGCTCTGTCTCTCTCTGCGCTACATCCATGGCGCCGGTCGATCTCAATGGCGATGGAAGCCTACATCCGTCGACAAACCCTACGGCCTCTGGGCCATGGAAGCCCCTCTCCACGACGCCGAATGGCGATCCTTCTACGACCTCTCCTACCCCATCTTCACTACCGTCGTCAACAAACTCAAACCCTAGCACGATCAATCTCAAACCCTACATCCATCGGTGACGATCTGAACCCTAGCGTGATCGATCTCTTCTCTCTCTCTGCTCTTGTCGTCGCCGGCGTTAGGGTTTTCTGGATCTAGGGTTTGTTGATTATTGATATTATTTAAGAAAGAATAATAAATTAAAAAAATAACAATTAATTGATAATGGAAAAAAATAATTTATTTCATTAAGCAATTGCTACAATAACACTTCCATTACATAATTTATTTGATTAAATAACAACAAGAATAATTTATTTGATTAATAAATTATTTGATTAAGCAATTAATTGATAATAATTAATTTATAATGGAAAAAAATGATACTATTATTAACAGCTAAAAAAATTTATAATAAGTAATTAAGCCATTAATTGACACCTAATTCATTTATAATGAAAAAATGAAAAAAAATATACTTATTGATACTATTAATAATTTTAGTATTAATTTATGGTAATTAAGCCATTAATTGACACCTCATTCATTTATAATGAAAAAATGAAAAAAAAAATATACTAATTGATACTATTATTAATTTTAGTATTAATTTATGGTAATTAAGCCATTAATTGACACCTCATTAATTTATAATGAAAAAATGAAAAAAAATGTACTAATTGATACTATTATTAATTTTAGTATTAATTTATTGTAATTAAGCCATTAATTGAGAAAAGAAAATATTAATATTAACATTAATTGATAAATAAAAGAAAAATTAATTGATACTAATTATTAATATTAATATTAAACATTTTTATATCATTGAGACTAATTAAGAAAAGAAAAAAAATAAAAGAAAAAAAAATTATAAATATAAATATTAATATTAATTGATACTAATTATTAATATTAATTAAGAAAAGAAAGAAACAAGGAAAACAAAAATAAAAAAATGTATCAATTAAGAAAAGAAAAAATAAATAAAAGAAACAAGGAAAAAAAAATTATTAATATTAATTGATACTAATTAATAATGTTAGCATTAATTGAGACTAGTTAAGCCATTACATTTTTATCAAATGTATCAATTTTTATATAAATTGATACTAATTAATACTAATTATGTTAATTGAAAAAAAAAATGACAAAATTATTATTTTTATATCATATAAGGGTAAAAAGGACAATTATACAAAAAAAAGTTGTTTTACAACTTATTTACCAAATACTATTCTCTTGCTTAAATCTATAATCCCACAGCTGCACTAAACAGATTAACAGTTTATGTTCACAGCTATAATCTATAATCTGTTAAGCTATAATCTATAATCACTTTCCCATAGTTCAAACGGGGCTTAAGTGTGCTATGCTTGTATCTGTCTATGTAGATCAAACGCCACGTCCCAACCACGTAATTCGTGGAGCCAACTGTGAGTAACACTGTTGTAAAGATATGTTTAACTTAAGTATTTTATTCCTTGTTTTGGACATGTTTTGTCTTATATTTATCGAATGATGATCTTATTTACTTACACTGTATTTCGTGGCATCCTTAGCATCTGTCTATATTGTCATAAAGATCTCTGTTAGTTCCAATTCCTGGAACTCCTGTTTATTATGTTGATGGCCATCACCTTTGATTACCGGTCTTTATGATCGTCTGTCCGGTCTTTAAGACTGCCTGAATTAGTTTGCTATGGGATGTACCACATATACATTTATGCTTTCTGTATGAGATAAAGATCTGTTAGGTGTATGACTTGTTTTACATTAAGGACATCATTCAGAACCTCTTTACATTGCTGTTATTCACTGGGCTCTAGCTCATGTTTGATATATGTATATATGTAGGTGATCCAGAGGACGTAGTGGCGGCGATCTTGCCTCAATTTTGTTAAGCTACCCTTTTGTGCCTCACAGCGAGGTTTCCATCTGTTGGAGTGTTTGGATGGCCTAGTGATCACCCCTTTTGTGAATCACTCTCGTGCTCTGGTTGAGTTGCACTGGAAATATATCTGTGGTTGTTGGGATGTCATTCTTTCTTGTTATTTGTATTTGTATTTTGACACTCTTGTCCTAGCTTGATGTGCATATGTATATACATAACATGCATTTTGTGTCATGTAAATTTCACAGCTCGTTGGATGTTATATTTCCGTTAGCCCCGTTTTTCTGATGTGTTCAAAAAAGCCTTTGTTAATCATGGATTATTGGTCGGTCACGACGCTAAACCTATAAGGGCGAGTTTGGGTTGTGACAATTCTCTTTTTTATTGTAGGAACTAATTAGCATAGGTCACTAATAGTTTCATTAACTTAAGTGACCAAGTTTAACTCAAACTAATTATGCTTAGTCTCTAAGTTGTATTTGTATTTTGACACTCTTGTCCTAGCTTGATGTGCATATGTATATACATAACATGCATTTTGTGTCATGTAAATTTCACAGCTCATTGGACATTATATTTTCGTTAGCCCCGTTTTTCTGATGTGTTCAAAAAAGCCTTTGTTAATCATGGATTATTGGTCGGTCACGACGCTAAACCTATAAGGGCGAGTTTGGGTCGTGACAATTCTCTTTTTTATTGTAGAAACTAATTAGCTTAGGTCACTAATGATTTCATATCTTTAAGATTTTGTTTTTATTTATTATTATTATTTTTTATATTTTCAAATTTTCTCTCTTTTTGTTTTTGCATAAATTACAAATACACATTTTGAGATTTACTTAAAATACGAATTGTTCCATATGATTATAAAAATTATATCTCACCCATGGACTTTTCAATTTCACAACAAATTATCTATTTTATTAGTAAATTATCAAGGTTTTTTTTGATAGGTTATTAATAAACTATAAGTTAATTAACAATTTTTAATGATATCAAAAATTTATTTCAATGAATAATGTAAGTAATTTTGTTATTGTATAGTAGAGTAATTAGAAATTTTATTTGTTTCAGTTAATTTTGTTAAATAAAAAATTTTAACAAGAAAATATTTGTAATTTTCTAAACTACATATGGTAATTTATTATTTAAATAAATCTCAAGAATTTGTAATTTATTTATTTATACATATCTTTGAATGTGGTGTATCATATGCATCACTAATTATATAATTTTTTTCTTTAATTATGATATTATTTTAATTATAATTTATGAAATCTTTATTTACGTTTCATGTTATTTTTGGTAATGACATTTTTTTTTATCCTTTTTTAATTATAACTCACTATAAATTATGTATGTTTTTTTTTTATTTTTATAATTATGACTCGATCTCCGCCCTCCGGACTTGAACGCTTGACGAGCCCACCATCACCCACCAAACAAACCCCCCAAACAATTTTTTTTCTTTCCCTCTTTCCTTCGTAGTCTCGTCTCCACATCTTTTTCCCCATCGATCCATCGATCGGAGCCGAGTTTCTCTAGGTTTTCATTCTAATCCATTTCAAAAATCAATCTTCTTTTTCGTGTATTTGTTTACCATAAACACATTCATCACAAGATTTGGTTTTTAATTGATTCATTACTATTGTTGGATAGACTTTGTGTTTAGCTGAGAAGAAGAGAAGATGTTAGGGATTGCAAGGCAAAGAATCGCCCTTAGAGCCATTAATGCTTCGGTAGGACCTAAAACTTGTTAGCATGTAATATGGAATGTTTATGACAACTTTGGTTTATATGTCTTTTTTTGACTGTGTAAGATTGTGGAGCAGTCGTTGCTGGGGATTCGAACTCAAACCCTACTTCATGCCTCTAGGAGTTTCTCGTCTACTGCAAAAGAGGTGACTTCATGAATTTATGATATTTGTGATTTTATATTTGAATTTTTGAATGGTTGATGATGGATGAGAAAACTTTTTGGACAGTTTGATGAATGAGAAAAATAGTTCAGCGGGTTATTGGATGTGGTAGTTACACAAAGGTTATTATTTAAAAAAAAGAAAAAAGAAAAAAAAAGAAAAGAAGTTCACACCAAGTAGGGTGTACACTTTATATAATACTAGAAATGGTGATGCGTGTGCATAAGATCGTTTTCTTTCAGCAAAATAAGATTGTGAAATGTATGCTTGAATTTAGAATCTGAAACATTTTATGAATCTGAAAAGATCAAAAGTTAAAAAAGAAAAAGAAAAACAGAATTTGGTGCATAATTGAATAATGGCGTAACTGCTGTTATAAGGGCCCTTGTGGCTAATTTTTGGGGGAAAAAAATGTGACATAAACACCATCTTTGGTGTTTGCTTTGTATATAGTATAGAGGATAGATAATCGACACATGTATAGTTGCGTGTGCACATGAATTAAATTTCAGGAAATAACATACCATAGCAAAAAAATTAAAAAATAAAGTAAGAAGAAAATGACATTGTGTAAGGTGGTTTATGGTTAGAGTTAGTTATGTTGGTCGTCTATAGGGAATGCTTAAATTGGAAATTGTAAATATATGCTAAGAAGCATGGACACTGGCATGTGACACAATACAGACATGCTAACATGCTAATTTTCAAAACATACAGAACACGATACGTAGGGGACACGTGAGAAATATATAATTTATATTTATTGTATGTTATATATATGAATATATCATTCAAAGACAATAAAAAATGTAATATAAAACTAATTCTTATAAATTTATATGATTTTTGTTTTATTATTGTATCAAAAGCTGTTTTGTTCAAACTTATAACTAGTTTCGCATGTGTCTAATAGATGGACACATGTGTTTAAGCGATAGACACGCGTGTCTTCCGAGTGTCTAAAGAGTGTCCGGTTTTTAAAAAATAAAAATAAAAATAAGACACGCTTTGAAGAGTGTCGGGGAAGTGTCCAAATAGTGTTGGTGCCCAACACGGACATGACACTGATATGTCACCTTCTTAGAAGTGTCCGTACTTCTTAGAATACGTGTGAAAGGGCTTTTATGGTATCATTTGCCACTTCCTTTTCTGTTGTTTTAACATACTTTCTTGTTTCACCTAATTGATGTGCAAGTCATTTCTCATTCATTCTCTTGTTCTTTATTTTGCATAATATACTGGCAATACTTGAAAATTAAGGTCCTCAAAATTATAAAGGTTCATTTTCTTTTTCTTTTTTCTTTTGTTTTTGTTTTTGTTTTTTTTCCCTTTAGTTTTTCATAACAAGATGCGGCATAGGCTCTCATTGTAGTAAGTTGGTATTGATTGGATTACTTATTAGAGTTTCTTGGCACTTGTTTTTACATGTAGGAGGTTTTCTTTCTTTCCTGTGTGTGTGGTGTAGGTGGTTTGAGATATTAGACGCATAATATTGCTTATTTAATTTTTTTTGTCTGATGTCATTGGAACTGCTGATTTCTTGCAGATGACAGTGCGAGATGCTTTGAATTCTGCACTTGATGAAGAGATGTCTGCAGATCCTAGAGTATTTTTGATGGGTGAAGAGGTATTTAAGAAGCTTGATGGGAAATATATTATCAGGCTTGTTGATATGTTTTCCATGTACTGACATGGTCAATGCTTGATTGTTTCTGTTACTTTTATGCAGGTTGGTGAATACCAGGGTGCATACAAGGTTAGAAATGCTTAGCAAGACATAAATTCGATATCTTCAAATTTGGAGTCATATGCTTCTTTTCTGTAAAACTTACTTTCCATATTTAAATTTGTATTAGATTTCCAAAGGTCTTTTGGAGAAGTATGGTCCTGAGAGGGTTGTTGATACTCCAATTACAGAGGTTGCTCCTTATGTCTGAAAAATAATTTCTTTTGCTGTTTTAATTGTACTCTTATAATTTTATTGTTCTTTTTAAACTTTCTTAACAATAATGCTGAAATATACTTTTTTTTTTGGTTATAATAAAATTTATGACTTTGAACTTTTGAATCAATATTGAAGGCTGGCTTTGCGGGGATTGGAGTTGGTGCTGCTTACCATGGTCTGAAGCCTGTCATAGAATTTATGACGTTTAACTTCTCAATGCAGGTCAGAGTTTATTTGTACAAGCTTTTCCCTTCAATTCCTTAAGGCATATGGACACAAATTATCAATCTGATCCTGAAGCTTTATTAGTTATGCTTTGGAAGTCTCCAAGTGGTGTGTTGATGTATAATCCATCTCATTATTGTGTCACCATTATGATTCCATTGCCCTCCAATGCATATGATATGGAAAAGGCATTTTTTTTTTTGTTTTGAATTTTAGGTTTGGAATCTCTTAATTAGTGCCTTGATTTTGTATCACCTTGTGTGATAGTTGAACTGGATGTCTTACTGTTAAATAAATGTAATGACTCTGTTTTGTTTCATTTTCAAAATCTAAAAACTAATTTGGCGGGGGAAAAAAAAAAAAGAAAAATCAAAAACACTATTCTCCTTTTTGTGGTGAAAATATTTTTTTGGTAATTATTTTTATCAAACTAGTTTATAGTTTTTCAAAAATAAAATAATAAATAAAATTCAGAAAACAGATTTTGAAAATATCAAACTATACAGAGTAAATAGGATTTAATCAATTTATCTTGAGCGGTCATTTTAAAGGAGGGAAACTGATTTGTCACATGTTTTGTTTCTAAAGGCTACATGATGTCATTAATGGCCCTTATTCAAGTTAAGCATCCATGTATCTGTCACAATTCACAAATTACAATTCTTGGTGAGCACTTTTTATATATATTTTGTTTTTTTCATAATTTTTTAGGCAAGTGTCAGTTAGTTTCTCACTTAAGTTTTACCCACTACGGTTATGCAATTTGTCCACTAGGATGCTTAAGGAATTAGGACCTATATGGTGAACAAAACCTTAAGGTCATGTTTGATTCACAAGATTAATAGTGAAGTATTAATAATCCAATTAAATTAGTGTGGTATTCACTATCCAATTGGATTAATATCCATTGGATTAATAATCCCACTACTACCCCATTACTAATAATCCTACAAATTTGTTGGATTAATTATCTATTGGATTAATAATCCTAAACCAAAGTATTAAAACAAACATAGGATAATGGGACCCACGGATTAATAATCTCAATCCCATGCTCTAATCCATCCAATCAAACATGCCCAAAGTGATCAAAAAGTTACTGCTGTGATTAACAATAGTCATTGCTTTGTTTAATTGTTGTTTAGGCACCATCTAGCTTGTAGGACTTGCACTGGCCTACAAAAAATAGCCAGCATGTTTAAGTACCACTCTTTTAGAATGCTTAGGAGGATAATTGGTTTGTGATTTTCAAAACCATGCGTTTCTTGCTTAATTGTGGGACCAGGGTTGGGATAAAAGATTCTTCTTGGGCCATATGATCTTGTTTGGTATCTTGCTATACTGCTGTTTGATGCGTAAGATTAGAGATGAATTTCTTGAGGCTGAAATGGAGGCTGGTTGGATCTAGAAGTTAGCCAGGCTAATAATGAGGTGCGTGGTTTAGCCAAGAAGCAAATTTCTTGCAACCATTTAGAGGGCACTTTGAGACTCCTTCAATTTTTTTTTTAGAAGGGGGTTGGTTTTTTTTGTTATGTTTTACTTTGTTGTGGTTGTTTCCGTTATTCTGTTAACTTGTTTATTTAATTGTGAGGGAAATTCCATCCTTCTATATATATAGGGGGTGTTTGGGAAGCCTTGAAAGAGGCTATTTTAGCCTCAAATGGGAAAATAGCCAAAAAGCCTCACCAACCATTGATTTTCAAAAAAAAGCCTTGAAAGAGGCTATTTTAGCCTCAAATGGGAAAATAGCCAAAAAGCCTCACCAACAATTGATTTTCAAAAAAAATAAAAAATAAAAAATAAAAAAATAAGGTAAAAAAGCAACGGTTGCTGCAGCAACGCAGCCTACACTGCCACCAATAGTGTAGGCTGTAGACAGGTTAAATTACGATATTACCCCTACACAACAATTTTGGAAAAAATAAAGTCAGGGGCAAATTTGTCATTTCAATTTAAACATCATTTCAAACACATTTTTCAATACAACAATCAACCCAAAAATTTAACCCAACTTCCCAAACACAAACTAAAATAGCCTATTAAAATAGCTAAAAAGTCAAAAAGCCTACTAAAATAGCCACTTCCCAAACGAGGCCATAGTTTTTGTTTCTCTAATGGTAACAGAGTTTCTTGTCAATGATGAGTAATGGGAAAGGTTGGTGTGTGTCACGACCCTATCTCGGCCCAAACAGGATAGTGTAGCGACCGGCCAGTAGTCTTTGCCTACCCGAGGCCTAGCTAGACAGAGAGAAAAAAAAAGAAGAAAAAAAAGAAAGGACTAGTAGTAGATGGGGCGAATAAGTGGAAGCATTACATTTATTAGTTAATAAGTCCATTTAGAGCAAGTGCGTAAGTAATGAAATGAAATGAAACAATCAACTTCTTCACTAACTTCTTTAAATATTTCTAGAGTGTACTTAGCTTACAAAAAGGGCACAACTATCACAAGTCAGTCTATTCTTCTTACAAGACTAATATTTACAATGCCTTCTCAAACTCTTACAAACATAGCTCCGAACTATATTACATATTCAAAACCTCAACAAATCAAGATTTTTTCAGACTTGTTCTTCTTCTTCACCTACATAATAAGAAGTATGGACACGGACACGCGACATGACATGAATATGACACGGACATGCCGACACGTCAATTTTCAAAAAATACAAGACACAACACATGGGGGACACGTATGAAATATATAATTTTATATATTTAGTACATGTTATATACATGAATATGTCATTCAAAGATAATAAAAAATACAATATGACACTAATTCCTATAAATTTATATGGTTTTTGTTTTATTATTGTATCTTAAGTTGTTTTGTTCAAACTTATAATTAGTTTCATATATGTTTAATCGATAGATATATGTGTTTAAACGATAGACATGTGTGTTGTCCAAGTGTCCAGGTCTTTAAAAAAAAATTTAAAAATAGAATATGTTTTGAAGAGTGTTGGACACATGTTGGGGAAGTGTCCAAAGAGTATCAGTGTCTGACACGGACACGACATGGATACGTTTTCTTCTTAGAAGTATTCGTGCCTCTTAGCCTACATAAATATAAGGGAGGGAGGGTGAGGCATAGCCCAATGAATAGTATTATAACAAAATGGTGCAATGAATGAACATCAACGGTTTTTATGATACAATAGCCATTCGTGTTTATAGTTTCAGCAAGTTCAAATGAATTTCCTTTCAAGACTTACATTTCAAAACATAATGACAATATGCATTGATTAGAACAAAACAAGACATGGAAATAACTTGCCCGGGTACGGATTAGATGAATAAACCCACAGGTGGCGAGGGAGATCTCAATCATACCGCTACTAGCACGCTTATTGTCCCCTAGCAGCTAGTACTAATCCGAAGGATGCTATCTTTATACATTTGATAAATAACATAACATAGGATATTCATTCATATTGAAGCATTTCAAAGTAAATTGAAACATAATACAAGTTTTAAGTTCTAAAACAAGAATTTAAACATGACTTTGCAATACTCACCTTAAATACTTGAAAACAGGCTGTTAATCCACAAGACTTATTGGCCCACAAATTATAATGAAACAATGCTAATCATTAGTACAAGGCTTAAAATTATGCAAGATTGAAGTGATTGGCTTAATTTAAGAATCCCTCTCGTCAATCTATGTTGAGTTTTAAAAAAATTAGGTTCTAAAATCTTGTTTGGAAACCATTTTATACTTGAAAACAAGTTTCAAGTGTACTATTAGAAAATGGGACAGAATGGTCTGGGATAGATTATCCAATCTGTTGGAAGAATGGCAAAATATTCATGAATTGATTGGCCCTCGAAATTCAGCTATAGTCATGTTTTAAGGTCCAAACATGAAATTCACAATTGTAGAGTCATGAGAAATGAGAGAAGAATTCTGTGAACTCCAATTTAACACAACTTGAAACTATTTCAAATCAAAAGCTTGCATTTTAATGAAACAAACATCTAAAGTTATATATATATATATATATATATTTTTTTTTGTTCTCATTTTCTTTTCAAATCTAACTTCCAAACTCATCTTCTCACAATCTTCTTCATAAATCTATTTTTGATATAATTTCTTCTAATTAAATGATTACAGAGTGGGTTATGTAGGAGTAATATTTTTACCTTGATTCAAGTTGAAAACTAGTTTGGATCAAGATTTGAACCTTCTTCTCTTTTCTTCTTTTTTTTTTTCTTTCTTTTCTTCTTCTTTTCCTCTCTTTCTTCTCTCAGGAATTCCAGCAGATTCTCTCTCTCTCTCTCTCTCTCTCTATCTCTCTCTCTCATTTTCTGGTTATTAATTTGAAGGAGAGACACTTTTCTCTCAAGGGTTTAACCCTATCCTAAGGTGCTTGCTTGAGCTACTTGCTTCATCTACTAGCTTCACTAATCTCCCTCGTTAGTCTAATTAATCAAGCTTAGTCCTAATCAATCAATCTAATCTTAACTAACTCAATTGATCTTGCTAAGTCTAATTAATCCTACTTAATTATCACAAATCTTGATTAAGTTTTGGTACAATACATAGGAATACTAAACACATTAGACCAAAGTTATTAAGCACCTTGATTAGGGATTTGAACACCTCATGGCATCCCAAATTCAAGCTGAAAGCCATCCCTAACTCTTAGTACTATTTAAGGAGCTTCATACACTCAAGGGTTTCTAACCATGCCTTGTATTTTCTAAGTTCTCATTCAAGCAAATCATGTCTAAACTACTAGTGCAATGCAAGGAAAATAAGCAAGGATAATGGATCCTCATGTCATGCAATGAATGCTTTGGGTGTTACAGTTTGGCCATGTTTAAATTGGTGACTAGAGGTCTGTTATAAAGTAGCTGTGTAACAGCTTGTTTGTTGGGTTTCAATGAGGCCTGTATCAGTCAAAAAAATTATTAAAGCATAAGTGTTTACATTGAATGGTAAATCACAATTTAACACTTCTGTTGTTATTATCTGTCTTTTCTTTTCTCTTCCCTCTAGGGTTGATCTAGCATTACTCATAGCTTTGTTGAGTGTCTGGACTCAGTTGTCGATTTTGTTGCAGGCAATTGACCACATTATTAATTCTGCTGCGAAGTCAAACTACATGTCTGCTGGTCAGATGCCTGTATCTATTGTTTTCAGAGGACCAAATGGTGCTGCTGCTGGAGTTGGTGCTCAGCATTCCCAGGTACATTTTCTCTTATTTTATGTAGTCAGTTTGTCATCCTGAGAGTGTTTTGGCATAGAGATGGTTACCCATCATCATAGTCTTGTACTTCACACTAATTGGTTACCTGATCATTTTGCGTTACTTGAATTCTCTCTCTCTCTCTCTTACACACACACAAGAAAAAAAAAAAAGAAAAAAGAAAAAAGAAAAAAGGAGAGACTGAATTTACCTGGAACAAAAACATATGTTTTGTGAAATATTGATCATAATTAATCTATTTGGCAATGGCTTTTTTGGCTAAAATAGTCAATAAAGACAAAATAGGCTAAAATAGCCAATAAGACAAAATGTCATATCTAAACTATAATCATTTTACTTTTTCTCTCATAACCACTAAATCAACTACCAAAAAAAAAAAAAAACACCAAACTTCCCAAACATAACTTTTTTAGCCAGGGCTAAAAAGCCAACTAAAATAGCATACTTCCCAAATGAGTATTAAACCTATTACCTTGAGTAACTCTATTCTTAAGGGTGGTTTGGGATGATTTAAATAAGTGTACTTTTTGACTTTTTATGAAATATGGGTTGGGTATAAGTTGGGTTTGAAGGGATGTGATAGAGAGGTGATGTGACTTAAATAAGATGAAATGATTTAAATAGGATAGTGACTTTTTGTCTTTTTTCATGGATGCCAAACCAGCCCTTAGTCCTATGTTGTAATTCAATATGAAATGACTTTTTTAACACTAAAACAACTTTTAACTGTAACTGAAACAATGTTGATTCTTTTGGAAATTGCACTTTCACACATTTGACCTGAACATCTTCTATGATGTAGGGCAGCACTAGGAAATTTGAAGTATTGCTATCCCTGACTGATTTTACAGTGGGAAAGTTTATAATAAGTTTATGGATTTATGATTTTAGAAGACGGAAGAAAGCTCGTGGGATTTGTGGTTTGAAAAGGGTTAACATCAGATTAATTTTCAAAGTGACATGTCACATGTTGCTGCTTTTGCAGAATTGTGTTGTGGGGATTTCTGAATGGAAAATATTTAAGATATCGAGTGTTTGGTTAAGGACTAAAAATGCAGGTGAAAAGGTGACGGATGACTAGGGCTCATCACAGCAAAATTTTGGGACTCAATTAGTTATATTTGGGGCCTCTGAACAATACCCTTGTCAACTTTGTTGTTTTGGGGCTTCTTAGCATTAAGTCTTTGATAGACAGAAGGATTGGGCTTAAAAAGCTGGGGATTTAGGTTTGAGAAAGTGTTTTTTAAGGTCTGTTGCTAGTTAAACAAGTGTGATACTGAAGGTAAGAAAGAGGAGGAGAAGTATCTTGGACTCTTAAGGTCTTTAGTTTTCACCCTTGCATGGCTTAAGCATCATAAAAGGTACAGTTTCACAATTGTTCAAACTCATGTCTTATTGAATATAAAGCTTACAAGAATATATATATATATATATATAAGCTGCAGTATTTCTTTTGCTTTTTGTCTAGGACTAAGCTTAAAAATAGGAATTATGATCTTTTGGCTATTAAGTATCTTGGTTACTATGACTATCCTAGGTAAGTAATGAAGGCCAATAACACAATTTCAACCTCAAGCAGGATCCATGGACGGCTAGTACATCCCTGCCCTAGAAATCTTGAATTAGTAAATTATCCCTGAGTTAAGTTAATCAGAGGCATACTGATTAAGTTAGGACTCAAGCAACTACCACGGTCACTTTTGCAGGTAAAAAATGATTCTTGATGGATGTGGGGCCTATTTTTGTCTATCCAATCAATACTTATGGCATCATTATGTTGCTTGACGGGGTACAAAGGGCATAACAAGAAGTTTTTCTTAATATCCAATGGAATATTTAATAAAAAGTGGATATTCTTATCTGAATTCCTTGAGGCTCAGGCATGCGTATCACATTCTCATGATCATCCTGACTTGAGCTAACCTGATTGATTTAGGAGTCTAGAAGTGCATTTAGAATATGTATTAGGTAAGAAAATTGCTATGGAGTATAAATTGAGTAGGTGAAAAACTGTATGGATTTTAGGAAATTGATGACTGAAAACTTCTATTTTCATTTTCAAAGAGAAGGATCTTAAATTCATGATCGGTGACCTGGAAAAAAGAAAAAAGGAAAAAAGGAAAAAAGAAGAAAGGGAAGCGGAAATATAAAAGATATGTTTTGAGTCAACATACATTGATGTGTTTCGGACATTACTTTTTTTCAGAAACATGCTTCCTTAATACGTGCACTGGTTGGGTAGTTTAGTTCTTTGTCTTATCATTAGTACACTTGCTTATTTTTTAAATTGTTCTGAAACTAATTCACCATTTTAAATCTTCATGCTGTGGTTTTGTGCAGTGTTATGCAGCATGGTTTGGTTCTTGTCCAGGATTGAAGGTGTTGACTCCATACTCATCAGAAGATGCTCGAGGCCTGCTAAAAGCTGCTATAAGGGACCCAGATCCTGTTGTTTTCCTTGAAAATGAGTTGCTGTAAGTTGTTTAGGTGCATTTTGATTTTATTGAGTTTGGCTTACTTAGCAAGACTGTGGTGTGGATGTGATGTGCTGCAGATATGGCGAGTCTTTCCCTGTTTCAGCAGAAGTTCTCGATTCCAGCTTCTGTCTTCCAATTGGGAAAGCTAAGGTACTTTTTCTTGTGACATTTTGATTCTTTCCTGTCATTGATTATTGTCTTCCTAACTTCCAAATTATTAACAGATAGAACGTGAAGGAAAAGATGTTACTATTACCGCTTTCTCGAGGATGGTTGGTTATGTTCTCAAGGTTTGTCATTCTTTCTTCAAGTGGGGGAGGATTCTATTTTGATTTGCTATGTTATTTAATTTTCCTTTTCAGTAATGCATATGATGCATCAGGTTTCCATTTTGCCTGCAATGAGTGAATGTCTTTGTATCAGTATAAAGAGAGGAAATTGTTAAAGAAATCCTAGTGCTGCCTCCTATCACAAGCAAGCACTCACAATGTCTGTGTGTGTGTGACAGAGAGAGGGCTGTGCCAACAGCCCTTAAGACTACCTGTCCAAAATGTTAGTATTACTTTTCTTTCCCTGCTTGCAAGTGGGGGAACTTGATTATGAAGAAGCCTGGACCACTTCAGAACAATTGATGCAATGACAGAACATACCAATCTTCTTACACATGAATTTCAATGTCTTGACATATTTACCATGGGCATTGTTTGCCCCAAATGTAACACCTAAATCACATTTTAATCAAATTGGAGCCTTTCTGTTTCATGTACTGGAATCTAGATTTACATATGGTAGTTATGATGTCATGAAATGCACCTTTTGACTGTTGACTGTCGGAAAACTTAGTTTAAGGTGCCCGAATGCATGGCTTAGATTAGTGCTATCCATAACTACACATACTTCTTTTTAGCCAATGACCATTTTTAGTGTGTAAAGTAGATAACAACATCCATGAAGAAGGTGAGGGAATCTTTCGTATTACACATATCATACCTTTCGTATTACATATATCATACCTTTCGTATTCCATATATCATACCTTAATCCATTGGTCGCAGGAGGTTGCCTTTGCTTGCATTTTATGCATATAAACTACACGTTCTTGGTTCAATTTTGTAGATCTTCCTTTCTTTTGCCTTGCATTTCTGAAAAGGAAACTGTGGTGGAAAGTTCAATTGCAGATTGAATGGCTTTTTTGGTGAATTTTACACATATACTCTTCTATTTCATGGATTTATCATAAAAACCAAATTTGCTTATTTCCTGTTGATTTCTCTCAGTTTTTCGATCGCTAATTTTTATTCGTTCCTTATTTCTTTCTCTTATGGAAAGTATTTAAACTTAAATTGCTAGTTTTCAAGTTTATTCTGTTTTCCTGATTGGGAGTTAACTTTGTATTATATTCAGGCTGCTGAAATTCTTGCAAAGGAAGGAATTAGTGCCGAGGTAACAGTCTAAAAACATACTTCCCTTCCTGGATTTGGGAAACCAGATGTTTAAAAGTATTTGACTGTCATTTCCTAAAAATCTAGGTGCTTTCTTTTTTATACAGGTTATAAATCTGCGCTCTATTCGTCCACTTGATAGATCCACAATCAATGCTTCTGTCAGGAAAACCAACCGACTTGTAACTGTTGATGAAGGATTCCCTCAACATGGTGTTGGCGCTGAGATTTGGTTATCATCTTTTCACTGACACATTATCTCTCTCCAGCGTCTTATGCTTGCAGATAAAAAAAATAAATAAAATCTTATCCTTCTCTTGATTGTACATACGAATTTTACGTTATGTTGCTTTTTTTGACAGTGCATCTGTTGTGGAGGATAGTTTTGAGTATCTTGATGCACCTGTTGAGAGGATTGCAGGAGCAGATGTTCCCATGCCTTATGCTGCAAATCTTGAGAGGATGGCCGTCCCACAGGTTTGTGTCATAAAAATCTCTTTGCTTTTTGCTTTGAAGCAGTGTGCTGTCAGTGGATGTAGACAATTTGATATGAAAAATACCGAAAATGGTTTGAAGTTTAAAAATCATCCATGACGGTATTCGCCTATAGCTCTTCCTCATCAGTGGATGCATAGTCAGTTATGGTTTTGTGGGAAGCAATTTCAAGAAAGAATAATATTTAATTTCCCTGCATGAAATCTTATATGTTGCAAATTAATAAGATGTGGTGATTGGGTAGGTGCTATTGAACCCCAGCTAAATCCCATGTCTGAATTGTGAAAGAAAGATTTCTCAACTGTTTCCAAATTGTTGTTCATTCTCTATTTAAAATTAAAACTGCATGATATTGAATATAAACAAATATTGAGTTGCCTTGTAATTTTTCGTGAATCACTCTGGGTTGTCTATTGAACAGATTGAAGATATTGTACGTGCAGCAAAGAGAGCCTGCTACAGAAAAGTTCCAATGGCTGCAACTGCGTAGATTTCCCTTAATCATCTTGTTTTTCTCCCAATAATTTTGCTTTTGTCCAAGTTATTCTTTGTCCACCTTTTGAGGTGTACCCCCTGATAAGGGTTGGGTCGGCACATCAAGTTTCATTGACAAACATTTAAATAAACTTTTGTTCAGAAAACTTAGGGGTTTTAGCTTTTCTTGTCTCCATTTTGGTAATTTACCACGATGTGTTATGGAAAGTGCAGTGTTTATTGTCCTTATTGCTTGAACTTGAAAAGTGTATTGTAATTTGATATTTGAATGGTGCACGTGGTAGGTCGTCTGATGGACCGACCTAAGTAATGTGTAAGAGACAGACTTAGATCTCTAAGAAATGTGTATACAAGCCATAATAAGGTTTTGGTTTGTATTGAGATTTAGCCTGATTTTGTCAGTTTGCTCTTCCCACTGAGATTACAATGAGGTTTTACAAATGAAAAAGTGGGAATGTCTCTCTATCAGGGCCACATGGATGGTGGTGATGTTGAAGATATTGGTGCATTTATAAGCTAGTTTATTAGCTTAAAAATAAGTTTTTAAATAAGCAAATATTTAGAAAGTTAGTTCATTTGTCATATTTTTGGCTTTTTAATTTTTCTAATGATTTTTAAAAGTGACTTTAAGTTGGATGTTTTGGGGGGAATGGAAATCCAAATGGGCTTTGGCATTTGGCTTTTAAGCTAAAATTGGCTTAAAATAGCAGCAAATTAGAGCTGTCCAAATGAGAAGTGAATTTTACCTGTGAATACTTGTGACTTAGATCGTCTTGAAGACAAATGCCGCAATATCGTTAAAACCATAGCCACAAGCTATGGATCCTTCATATTGGCCACTATAGACTCTAGATTGTCCCAAAGTGCTTCTCAATTTCTCGGATTTGGGCTAGCGTAGATCGCTGAGAGGATCCAGTCATGGTAATTCTCTTTAGATTTTGGCATGAATTGCCTATGTGTTTGCCTCCAGAGCTTTCACAGTAGCTCAAAATGGGTATCAAAATACCCAAATCTCAATAGGTTGCAATCCTAGATTGTTAAAGAACAAACCCATGGAGCTTAACTCTACTTTGGTTTCTATCAAGCTGATGATTGTTGGGTTGTGAGTCTTCATTAGCTCTCTCGAATTTCTTTCGAAAGCCTTGTTTCCCACATCTCAGCAATTCCAGATTAGTAACTGTATGGAGAAGAGTTTGGGTAGGTCGGGAGGCTTTTGAAATCAGGCGTCCCCATGATTTTCCTTACTCTTGTGCAGTCCATCACCATTGAGCTCGTGGATCCTACCTTTATGGTGAGATTTGCTGTTGCAAGGGCTAGTCAAGTCTTGATCAATCTCTGGATGGTCTCCTATCCACCACTCTACGACGATTAAGTCAATGACTTCTATCTTGTGATCTATGGTGAGATACACCATGTCGCAACTTACTCTGTGTCGAAACAACTTTGGGATTTCCATGATTTTCTATTTTGTTTGGATTCTGCAAAGCTGAGGTCGTTCCTTCCTCTGGTAATGCAACTATCAGCTGCTTAGAACTAGACTTCGAGAAATCAATACCACTCATGCTTGCTATAGGTTGGATGTCACCACCTCGGGACTCATTTATCTCTTCCGAGCTGTAATGATGTCTTTCATCAACTGTTCCCAATGAGGTCTCGCTTCTGTCTACATCAGCTGTTTGTAAGCAAATGAAAGGATTCTAAGAGGCTACTTCTCTGCCTAGGTTCCTCACCGCACCTTATGTGAATGCAGCCATCTGTTCGGTGTTGCAAGTCGCCCAATCTAATCTTTCAAGCGTATTTGCAACTCTTGTCTACCACTTTTCCTTGTTAGGTGGGGACTAGAACAACCTAGATCCATAAGTTTACACATATTCATCCTATTCAAAAACTTACGCAACCCTTAATTTAGTTAGTTGAGAAGCTTCTTTTCTCGTCTTGAGAGGCAAAGTCATTGAAATCGTCTGCAACCAACCATGGTTCTTGCATATTGTCCGCCATGAATTCAAGATATTCGTGGAGAGCTTCCTTGTTCCTCGAGTTTGGGTTGGCATATATTGCCGACAGGATCCAATCTGAGTAGTTTTTCTTTTGAACTTTCGTGTGGATGACTTGGGTATTTGCTTCAAAAGCTCTAACAGAGGCACGAACCGGGTCCTAGATTCCTCCGCTTCTCACAATCGGATCTACATTAGTTGACATCATGAACAAAGGTTATTGAAAAGCATGCCCATTGAGTTTAACTCAACTTTCGTTTCCATGAGAACAATGATTGAGGGGCTGTGGATTTTCACTAGTTCTCTCATGGTTTTTCTAAACACTTTGTTTCCAACATGTCTACAATTCCAAATCAACAACTTCATGGAGAAAGAGTTCGAGTAGATTGGTAGCGGGACAAAGTCAAGAATTTTCATGATTTTCCTTACTTCCAATCAGTTGCTCTCCACTAAACGCATCGCATACCTTGACAATATTGCTCTTGATGTCGTATAGACTTATCGAATTTGGTTCCATCTCCAATTGGGTTTCTTCTATCTACCATTCTACACCAATTAAGTGATAGGCTTCGTTCTCTAGATCCAGGGCAAGGTAAGTTGAGTTGTATTTCACTCTATGGTGGATTACAGTTGGGGGATCCATTTCCATCTTCTCTAGTTAGCTTTTGTGACTCTTGCACTTTCTCAACAAGATCCCTAATGGTTTCTTTGCGTTTGGAAATAGGTTTTTGTTCCTTCTATTCTGTTTGGAGGACGTGTACCTTCCTTGGGAAGGTTTAAAATAACAGAGTTACTAGGGTACTCACCTATGACAGTTGATAGGTGCTGAAATGTATGCATTAAGCCTTAAACTACACTAGTTACGTCCATGTCAATTGTAATTTGATAGTTTTAATGAATCTGCCTATTATGCAGGTCCATTGTGCTTTTGAGATAAAAGTGTCTAATCAAGAGAATTAAAGGACCAAAGTGCGGAGCTAATTAAAGTAAGCAACTCCAAGTTGGAGTGTCACGGCACAATGTAAGATTGTGCACAATCATGTGAGTTCGAGCGCATACTTAGGTGTACGAGTACGAAATAATTTTTTGTATAATCCTGTTGATCAAGTTTGCATTTCTCCAAATGTTATCGCTTTGCTACCTGAAAACACATGTGAGCTAGTCGGCGGGTGTGTGTCAGAAGCCTTTTCGATGCCTAAGTCAGTAAGTAAACAATAGACAATAAGCTTTATGTATTTGTGAGTAAGAATTGCAATACCTGGATATAGGTGTATTCATGAGCTTTTAAAGATTCCGCTTAGCACAATTCTAGTAGAACTCTTACTCTCCCAAGGACAATGCCTATCCTGATAACACTCTACTCACTGCCAACCAAGTGCGATGGTTTAAACCCTTTACTTCGGCTGTCGATTCGGTCAACTAAGCTAACTTCGCTTGGCTCTGCTCTTAGCAGAACCATGATAACCTCAATCAAGATGGTGCTCTGTCGAGCTAAACTTAGCTCGGTTTTCTTCACTGGTACTACCTCGGTCCGCTACAGGACTACCTTTAGACAGTTAGGTCCACGCACCAGTGACACATCTGACTGGCTTGGTGTCTACCGGCCCAAGACCGTGCTATCCAAGCTCTTACTTCGGCCCATAGACCGGCCCTTAGCTCAGCCCAATTTAGTCACATAAATTATCTTCTCAATAGAGATGTAAGAAAAATCGAAAAAATCGACCAAACCGATTGAACCGGACCAAATCGGTTACATTTGGTTTGTTTTTTAACAAGAATCGATCTGTGTAGTTTTTAAATTTGATTTTTTTCGATTTTTGATTTGGTATCAGTTTAAGCACCTTGTGCACCGATCTAAACCGAAACCGATCGTTTCAACATATATTGTGTTTATACTATATATATATATATATATATATATATATATGTAATCCAATAATATAATGATATTAATAAGTATAATAAATTATTAGCCTTATCATCTTTATAACCTAAGTTTGTTAACTTTTATTATATATAATCTTAACTCTAACTCATTATTCTTGAAACCTTAATATTTTCAAACTTTTCGTTGTTTTTATTTTTGTTAATTTAAGACTTGAAAGTATGTATTAAATGAATGGATTGGATATGTTTGAAATGGTAGATAAATAATTAATTTAATATTTTTATATAGATTAATGATTATATTTCAAAGTGGCTCAAGTTTGAAAAATAGTAAACAGATTAAATCTCACCAAACTGAATCATTTCAATTGGTTCGGTTCAGTTTGGTTTGATAGCAGAGGCGGTCTGTATTGATATTCAAAATAATAAAACCGACATTATTGATTCGGTATAATTTTTTACTTAAATATCGACCGTACTAAAACAATTACATCCGTACACATACCTATAAATGTGAAGTTTTGAAGCTTTTGCAAAATTTGAGATTATCCATGTGTGCTTGGGCGAAGGTTGTGGTGTGCCCGTGCACACACCGTATAGAATAGAGCCAAGGTGTACCCGAGAGCAGCTCGTGGTGTGAAATCTAGACCAAAAGAGGAGATGAAAAGGGACAAAGTATAAATAGGACTTCTCAACTTTGGTTTTAAGGTTCTAAATATTGGATTGGGCAAGATACAGCTTGAAGCTAGAGAGGGATTTCCACAATCAATCCATGGCGTTCTTCTCAACCATTATGGATTTTACCTTCTTCATAAGTGACTAAACTCTTATCTTAGAATTGAGATGAAACCTTAGTCAAGTAATGTGTATTGATGTATTAATGTTTTAGTTTTGATTTCATTTGGATAATCATTGTATAACCTTTTAAGATCTTTTATTCAAGCAAAGTTTTATTCGATGAATGTATTTGATTTCTGTGATTGAGAGAATACATGGTTATGCAATTGTTTTCTTTAGGAGAGCTTACTTGTAGGTCCTAATAAGTAGACTTGCTGTTCAATAAGTCCTATGATAATTAATGACATTTTTTCATCAAACACTACAAAAAACTCAACAGATAAAAGTCTTTTGTAAAAATCCACAAACTAGGTGAAGCTTGGTGGTGTATTGATTTGATCCATAATAAAGAAATTCTCAAGGAGGTATCTTGAGGAGTGGACGTAGGCCGGTGAACCGAACCACTATAAATCCTTGTGTTTAAGCTCTTCTTTCCTTTTTTATTTTCTATGTATCAATTGATTGCCTACTGCATTTACTTAGTTATTTGAAATCAATTTTTTGTTCATATTTTTTAATTACCCAATTTACCCCCATCTTGGGTTGCCTTCCTGAGTAACAAAACCAATTTCTATTTCTCAATTAATTTAGTTCTTAAATTTTAGTTCATAGTTAACTTTATTATACTCTTATTTAATCGAATTAATTTAGAAATCACCCTTTGAATTAATACAATTTACCTCATATGTCCCTGTGACACGATACCTAGATAGGAAAAGGATTCTCTCCAGTTAGAAAACCCAATTGGAGAGTGCTATTGGGCCTCTGTGGGCCCATCACGGAGCCCATATCGATGGTTCGAATTATTCAATGTATAGAGTGCACCGAATACTTTATCCTTGCAAAAAAATTACCTTGATTGGATATCGATAACTACTTGATCAAATCACATTTGTATCAATACTTTATTTTTAAAATCACAATTACCATTGACACAAATATGATTTGATCAAGTGGCTATTGATATTCAATCAATGTGATTTTTTGCAGAAATAAAGTATTCGACGAGCTCTACATATTAACGGTTCAGATCATGGATGCTGGCTTCGTGATGGGCCTATAGAGACTCAACAGTACCCTCTAGTCTGATATAGATTAGAGAGAGACCTTTCCCACCTAGACGAACCACTATTTTATGGAATTAGTACTACACACAGTTCTTTATTTTTAGTGTACAAAATGACCTACCAAAAGTGTCCATCACGACCCCTTTGTTAGTTGGCTCCATAGACTGAAATAGGTGAAGGAATTGGAAAGTGGTTAGTTCCTTGTTCTTTCCTTTCAGATACACTTATTCCTATGTCTAGTTCACATAGGCCTTTGGTTGGTTTTCTGGATTCTTCTCCAATGTTACTTTGCTTTTTTAGTCAGGGCAACTTTTGTTACTCGAACTAGTTTGTATTAGGCTCTGTTTTAAAGTACCTTTTCCACTTGTCTAGTTTGTTGTCAAGTCTTAGCCATTTGGTCTTCTTCCCTCTTTTCTTTGAGCCTTCATCATTGGGCCCTCTTTGTTCTCTCCTCTCATTTGTGCACTAATCTTTTTGCCTTTTTTCTTCACAATCATCTAAGGCCCAAAACCTTATGTTGTCCCATTCTTCATTATAGGCCCATTGTAGCGCTAGGTCTTGCTTTCCCAACGGTTGATTCTGGATTGTCCTTGTCGTCATTCTGGTTCTTTTCTATTGCTATCACCACCGCCAGAGCATCACTATACCACTCTCTTCTTTGTCCTACCTGGCACAATTAACACAAAAAAGAGTGCAAATGTTCATACTCAACAACATAGGAGAACTTATCAATGGCAAAGTATGAGATCCGGGGTTTGCTAAGATCTATCTCAATGCACACTCTAGCATACTTTCCACTTGTTGATGTAGCTGTGTTAATATCTATCTTTAATGTTGTATTTGGTTGGGGGATTTGAATATGGATTTGGAAAGAGAAATGGAAAAGATAGGTGAAATGTGAATAAAACATAGCTATATTTCACCTAGTTTCACACACCTTTTCCTTTTCCCTTTCCAAATCTCTCTAAATTTCCCAACCAAAAACAACGTAAAGGTTTTTCCATGGCTTTTGCTACGTGCAACAATACTTTTTTATTGTAGTACTCTAAGGAGTTGAGGACACCTCACCCATAGTGTCATTGACATCTCTCTTGCTTTAGATGGTTTGAAGTCGTGTTTCTATTTTTGTACTGTTAAATAATGATTCAGTGAAAAGAAAGGGGGTGAGAAATAAATAAAGAAATAGGAGACCTTTTAGGACATCAATTCTATTTTATAACCAACACAACCAAACATAGTTAAGATTTGGAATTCTATTAATTCTTTCTCCTTTTCCTTTCATTTCCATTTCCCTTTCCATTTCCTTTCCCAAATCCCCAAACCAAACACAGCGTAAGGAGTTGAGGAAACCTCACCCATAGTGTCATTGACATCTCTCTTGCTTTAGATGGTTTGAAGTCGTGTTTCTATTTTTGTACTGTTAAATAATGATTCAGTACTATCCATGGTCCTCTAGTATACACTTGTGCAGTCCTCTTTCATGTGGAATTTGATGAGAAAGAACCCAAATCCCAACTCAATAGCTTCAAAATCTCCTTGTGGATCCCAAAGCCTCTTTATCTTGCTCACCAACGGTTTGTAGCCTTCATGCCCAAGAGCTTGATGATAAGGCAGTCCTTCCAAGGTCTTCTCATCTTCGTCTTCCTCATTGGCATATTCATCTTCTGTAGATAAATTGTCAAGATCCTCTTCAAATGCCCTTTCATTCAATCTTTCTTTCTATGAGTGCTTGTTTGAAAGATTTAGGGCCAAACCCTCTTGGTTCCTCTGCATTTATGGATTTAAGGCCAAATCCTCTTGGTTCCTCTGCATTTTTTTTTTAACTGTCAATCATTGTGTCGTCATCTTTGATCTTCTTTAAGCTTCGAATCAAGTGATCTTCCTCTTCGGAAGTTTTTTCATCCTCGGTGCCTTTGTTACCCCCATTGGGAGTGAGGTTGTTGTCATTACTAACAAAAATAATAATGAAAAATACAATTCAAATTGAATTATCATTCACCATTGGAAGACAACGATAAATTTCATAAGAAAGTTTAAAAAATGATAATTTCATTACAATTTACCTCATTGAACTAAATAGAATATTTATTTCTTTTGCTTTCCTTTTCCTTTTTACCAGGTCAAGTCAATAGGTGATAGGTGGCATATAAAATACTTCCTTTCAATAGAAATGTAGCTAGCAATAATTTCTCAGAGCTGTACAAACAGATGTGGGATTTCATTTTGGTGATTGTACACTTCAGTCCCTTCAAGTTCCTCTTTTGAACAAAATGTTTATGACAAAGCTCAACAAATGGAGACCATAATCAACAAAAATGCAGCTAAAGAACAAAGAGGAAAATACCTAATCAAAAAAAAAAAAAAAAAAAAAAAAAAAAAAAAAAAAAAAAAAAAAAAAAAAAAAAAAACCTTATAGCTCCCCCAACACTTCGCCCTACCTTCTGCTGTGAAAAAACTCTGAAACTGATCCTTTACCCTTTAATCTAAAATCCATTGATAGTCCAACTGAGGACGGAACGAAGGTACGGATAAATCTTCGAGAAGGAGCCATCTGGGCTTCCTCTTTTTTGGTCCTCCTCCTGGAAGTACCACCCATGGCTGCAGTGTTATTAGCAGATCCTGATGAATTGGACTCCACTATTGATGAGCCAAAAGAAATATCTTGAGCACCAAATGATACAGGGCCATTATGTGATTTGTCTAGAGGGTGTCCTACGGCTCCATCCTGATGAGGCGGAGGGAATTTCTCACTCTTGCTCTTGGCATTTGCTTGTGTCATGACTTTCCACCGCTGGAGATCAACAAACAAATCACAATAAAATCAACATTTAACAAACGAGTAGTGCTATTCACTGCGACTGCTACATGTTTGGCACTGGTTGGCTGCACGATGAGTCCCACACAGCAGCCGATCAAATGCCAAACACATGGTCCTGTTCAGCTTGAAAAGTTGCAATGAAAATAATTTCCCTTTACAAAAAGGGTGGAGACCAGCTAGATGAATTCAAATGAGCCTAAACTAAATTGGGCATTTGGCATAAGAAGCCCAGTCAATTTGTGCCTAAGAAGCATGGACATAGACACGTGACACGACACGAAGACGCTGACTCAAAAATTTTCAAAACGTGTAGGACATGACAATTGGAAAGCATGTGAAAAATATATAAATTTATATATTTATTATGTCATATATAAGAATAAATAATTATTATATATCATATATGAATATTTAAGCCAAAGATAATAAACTTTTAAAGTCTAAAGGAATAGGATATGACTAAATTTACGTTATTTTAGTTTTATTATTGTATTTCAAGTAATTTTATTCAAAGTTGTAATGTGTTTGTGTGTTTAGGTGTTGGGAAGTATCATGAGTGTCCTGTTGTGTGGGTGTCGGACACGACATTTTATCTTCTTAAAGTGTATGTGCTTCTTAGATTTGTGCAGACTAAATGAAAGGGAGAAATATGTTTAACATACATCTAAATTTGCCTGGAGCTCTGCATTGGCTTCTGGAGCCGGAATTGCCCGGCTACCCCGATCCCGAATTCTCCCCCTTCTATTTCCATCAACAACATTAGCTTTCCCGCTCAAACCTCTTTGCCTGCAGCAGAGAAGAAAAATAATCTGTGAGCGAGCATATGGCCAAAACTAGTTTCACAAGATTGTAAACGTAAAGGAAGAAACAAAACCTTCTTGCTTCTTCATCCTTCAATTTCACATCCAGTTCTTTGCTGGGAGGATACTTTGGTAAATTTGATGGCTCACATGCATAAGGTTCAGTTGTGAAGAACTGTATGAAGACAAAGCTTTATTAAGTTATTTTCTCTCATAAATAGCATTAACCAACATATCAAAATAATTCTGAAACAGTGCATAATTTGCCAAGAAAATTTCAATATAGAATCAGGTACATTACGCCAAGTGTAGAGACACCAAATATTTAAGGATATTTTAGGTTCATATTTAGAAGCAAGCACCACATAATTGTCACTGCTTCTCTGCGCAAACATGCACATACCTAAACACACTTTCAAAGTCAAATGATCTAATTGATTTTGAAGAGTTTATCAATAGAACCCTGTCCAGTATTTGTCCCCATAGATGGCCCAGCCTGACTGGTTGGAGGCCAATTGTCAAATTTGGAAGCCTAAGGTGAAGACTTTAGTCAAATAAATGTAATTGGTAGTTTATTACTATTATTTACTTAGATTTAATTAAATAAAAATTAGTAAGAGATATTAGTTGATTAGGTTTCCTATTTTAGTTAGTTTTTTTAATTTTTTAATAAATACTAGGATTTGCTTTGTAATATTCAATTTTTGAATAGCATTATTTGAGTTTTAGGCTATGGTCGTTTGCGTGTTTCTTTTCCTCTCTTCTCCTATCTCATTCTACATCACATAGCCGTGTCAATGTTAAGTCAATAATCAAAAGGTTCTTTTGATTTTAAGAGCTACTTTCATTTCACAAGTGACATGTATGGCCCCACAAGTATGCTGACGCTTGGGTTGAATCTGTCAACTCTTTGAGTTTACCAATCAACCATATTGAATTTATATTTCTTGTATTAAGCCCATGAACATCCAATTCTTGTTACTTATAAAATTCAATTTGTTTCAAGAAATTAAAAAAATAAATACAAAGTTCTTTTTTTTGGTTATTTATTTTTATTTTTTTAATCTGGATCCAACTATAAATTTTGCCCATGCAATCAATCTCCACAAAAGGAGTATGTACGTCCACCAAAACCTAGTTCAAAGTTCACAATGAAGCAATAATGGCAATTGCAAACCTTTATTTGCTGAAAACCAGAAGAGAATAAAACAACTAGACAGGATGACATAATCAAACAGCATCAGATGATGGAAATATCGTGCTTGTTCACCAAATAGCATGTTAACAATATGGAACATCAATGCATGAAGCTATCTAGCAAATAAAAGAATATCTTTTGTTAAATAAAAAAAATTGTCCATTTAATAAAGATACTCACTTCACTATTTAGAGCAGCAGTGGCAGAGCCTCGCTCATCAGGATCAATTGCCAAAAGAGTTTCAATAAGAGGGAGAGAAGAAGGTGGAAAGTAATTGTAAGTTTCTGATATGCAACGCTTGTATGGCTGCTGTGGCTTGAAAAGGGTTGCATTTGGCAACCTGGATTTCTTCCAATATTCCTCGGATGGGGAGCCACATAATTTAAATATCTTGTGAAGTTGCTCAACCTAGGCACAAAAAGAATCTAAAATGAATAAATTGAAACTGACTGTTTTAACTTCAATTTTTTTTTTTTTTTTGGAAATAAAAATGAAGGACAAACTTTACTTTACCCTCTGTGGTTTGAGTCATGTGCGGTTTATCCACCCAACGTTTAGAAATGACCACATAACATTTCATGTGATTTGTGGATTGAAATGCACCGTTAAACATTTCGTCTAATTTAATAGTAAGTGTGAAACAAGTGGTAGATTAAGGGGGTTATATGCTCATTTTAAAATTTTAGGAGGGTAAATCGCACATGGAATAAAGTACAAAGGGTTAAAGTGTACTTTGCCTTTCAAACAAATGATGAAAATACAAGGATATTTGAGTCTTTTTCATTAAAGCCTTGTTTGGCATAAACTAAAAAAGTCAAAAAGTCACTATCCTATTTAAGTCACATCACCTTATTTAAGTCACATCACCTCTCTACCACATCACTTCAAACCCAATCCATACCTAACCCATATTTCACAAAAAGTCAAAAAGTGCATTTATTTAGATCATCCCAAACAATCCCTAAATCGTTAACGGACCTAACGTTGCACTTCAATCCATAAAACCACAAGGGGGTGATGTGGTCATTTCCAAATATTAGGGGGGGTAAACCGCATATGGCCCAAATCATATGGAGTAAAGTGATATTTGCCCAAAAATTAAAAAGATGATAAAATAATAGAGAACATACAGGGGGCTAAAGTGCACTTTGCCTTCCAAATAAATGATGAAAATAGAGAGATATTTTAGTCTTTTTTATTAAATCATTAACGGGTCTAATGGTGCACTTCAGTTCATAAACCACAAGGGAGTTATGTAGTTATTTCCAAATATTAAGGGAGTAAACCGCATATGGCCTAAATCATAAGGGGTAAAGTAAAGTTTGCCCAAAAACAAAAAAGAAAACAAAAAAATGGAGAACAGATGAATGCAGTCCCCTTACATATCGTTTAAGCCATATGAATTCCAAAAGATGGAATGCATATTCAAATTGCCCAAATAAGGTACAAGCACCAAAAATCAGTGACTTAGTCAAATTGGAAGAAAGTTCACCCAATGTGCAGAATTCTCAAACTTAGTGTTGCTTTTTGTCTTTAAACTAGAAACGTCACGGCAGGAACATCCATATGATTTGTCTAACATGTAAAACCTAAGAAGCACAGACAAATGATACAACACGGATACGGACACGGACACATGACATATAGCACGGACATGTGGATACACAAATTTTTGAAAAATATAGGACATGACACATTGGGGACACATGCAAAACAAATAATTTAATATATTTGTTATTTGTTATATTTTTAAATATTTAATATTTATTTTATGTCAAATTTTAATTTTATCAAATTTATCAATCTAAAGAATGCTATTTTAGTTATAAAAAAAAATAATTAATTAATTTTTATTTTATTTTATTTTGCTTTTTTTTTTCAAATGGTCCTTAGCGTGTCCGACACCTATACATGACCTCCATAGAAGTGTTCGTGTTTCATAGAGTGGGACTATATGGTTGAGTGAGGTTAGGTCATATCAAATAATCATAGGACCACAAAGACAATTCAATGAATTTGCTTGGATTAACCAAAATGTCAATAAAGTATTCATATAATATAATACATTCCCAAAGAAATTAATTATCTTCTATTGCCTGACCATTCCATGTTTGGAGGAGAACTAGCCAAACCATTTCCATTGCAAATTAAACATCCCATGTTACAGCATGACATGTTGTCTGACTGACATGTAGAATTTTAACTAGATAGTTGATTGATGTGCATATGCAGTAAAAGAGTATCCTATTGACTTGAAGTTATGCAAGAAGCCTATAAAACAAGTATGTTAAAAAGCTAAGATTAATGAGAATGTGCATCATGGCACATACTTAAAACCTAGATTATTGTTCCCAGAAGACTGCACCAGTACTAGATTATTATTATTTAGATAAGTCGCTGTATTACATTACTATTCAAGAAAAATGTTTGATCTAAATAAAGATATTCAGAACCACTGGTAAAAAATAAAAGTTATTAGACTAGGCCATACCAAGTAAATTAAGTAAAGATACCTCTGTTCGTCCGGGCATTATTGGTTTCCCAGCAAGCAACTCTGCCAAAATGCAGCCAGCACTCCACATGTCAACACCAACACCATAATAAGTGGCCCCAAGAAGTAACTCTGGGGGACGATACCAAAGGGTTACAACACGGCTTGTCATTGGTTGCTTGCGTTTAGAATCATAAAAAGAAGCTAGTCCGAAATCAGCTATTTTCAGAATTCCTTCATTGTCAATAAGCAAATTGGAACCCTTGATATCCCGGTGCAACACACCATTATTGTGACAATGCTCAAGTCCAGACAACAATTGCTTCATAAAACATTTGACCTGACAGAGGAAAATATATAAGAAAAGAACATAGCCTCTCAAATGTCATATATTTCCCTATATTGAACTTGGAACACAGACAAGTAGGTTAAAAAGTGCAAAACAGAAGGTCCAAGGTCCAAGATGAACAAGTTCTTTACCCATCTTCACCACAAGGTTCAAGATGATCAAGTTTTTTAGATGTGTAAGGAGGGTTAACTATTAATAAATCTGAAGAACAGCACATTTGATACTGCCTTTGGTAACTCCTAAATGACTAATCGGTTGGTTCATTGTTATAAGCAAATTCCCCTTTGTGCATAGATTTTCTTTACCATATTCAAATATTCATAATAAACTGAGGAAAAAAAAAATCACTTTTACAATAAGGTGAGTTCCCAATAATTTCATGCATGCATTCCATGCATCTTAAAGGTGATGGTTACTTCAAGAACTTAACCAACTCCCACAACCATGGGGACTAATCCTATTAAAACATGTAGCCGTCTGATTCTATCGACAATGGACCCTACCTTTTCTCAGATTTGGCATTAAAATTTGGGGAAAATTTTAGAATAACTCAGCAGCAGAGAATCATGTACTGGAAAGTCACAGTTCCATGTATGTGGCCAGTGAACCTCTTTTTTTTTTTTGGAGTCAATACTGTAATCCCATTCAGATGTCTTCCATCACCTGTAGTTCCCCTTCAGTTCTAACAGAAACAATCTCTCAAAAACAGAAAAATAACACAAAAATAAAAAAATAAAAACCTTTCCAAGAGAAATTGTGTCCATATTTATGCACTTGCAAAGCCAAGAGAAATTGGGTTCTTCAATCACTCTACGTCCAATAGATTAGCTAGTAGTTGTTCGCCTAGTCGGGACTCAGGAGTGTCTATCCCTTTCCAAGCACTAAATAGACATGAAGAAAAATTCAGTAGCTCCATATTTGTGCACTTGTAAAGCCAAGGAATGCATTTAATTTGAAGTTGAGCCATGTAAACTATTCATCAGTGGAAACTGTCTGCTAACACATAATGTATCAAGACAGTCCCAACTCTCAACTAAACAATTACCGTCCAATCTCTTGGAAATAAGAGTGATTGAAGAACCCAATTTTTCTTGCTAATTTTTCATGCCTGCAGTTCTTAGATGCTAGCAAGCCATATCTTCTCGAAGGCAAGCTCCACTTTATTTTGAAGAAAAACATAATCAAGAATAGCAAACTGTTTGCATGTTCAATAAAGCAAAACACCATTTAGAAAAATTATAGTAAAGCTAATAAAAAAAAAGAATTAAGAAATTGCATAAAAGTTGCATGAAGTGGCAACCCTAGCTTGTACCCAAAAAAATACATCCCAGGAATAATGAAGGATCAATGTTAGTCGTTCCAAAGTGTATCAAATAAAAGCATGACGATATTTTCAAAAATTACAGTTTCTTGAATCCAAACAAAACCTAATTACCTGCAATAAAAGGATTTTTTTTTAAATAAATAAAAAAGAAGGCTCTAAATCATTATAGTGATGCGACCTACGAAATTTCAAGTACGCCCAAAAACAATGTAACATAACATCACAACAATAGCTCCACGAATTATGACCATAAAAACACAGCATTGGATACCCAACCAACGGGGTATGGACCCCCCACCACACTAGAAAAGTCTACCATATCAGCATCAAAACGCAAAACAAGCAAAACTATAAGACAAATTCAACTGTAAAAGCTCATCATGAATCTAACTAGGGAACGAGTATCCCCAAAAATATAAATAAATAAAAAGTACTTACATTGCTTTTGAAAGCAAAAATTACTTCAACTTTTGCATTGTAAAGCAAAGTAAAAGCACTTCCAACCAAAAATTCAACTATAATTCAACCCATCATCTAGAACAGAGTAAAATTACTGAGAACTGATGGGTTAGAGAGAATCACACCTGTGGTTCAGTGAACTTGACACCCTGGACCGCAGCGAGGCCGGAGAGGTCATGTTCCATGTATTCAAACACAAGGTAAAGGCTTGAAGACATTCTTGATGTAACTAAGCCTTCAAGCTTTATTACATTGGGATGATCTAACTTTTTCAAGACTAGTATTTCTCTTGCCATGAATTTCACACTCTCTGGCTCTGAATTGTCAAACCTTACCTTCTTCAATGCCACAATCTTTCCGCTAATCAAATCCCTAGCTTTATATACATTGCTATACGTCCCTTGCCCAATCTATACAACAAATTCATCACCAATGTGAATCAAAATTATCAATATATCTCTCTCTCTCTATATATATGTATGTATTTCGATTTAGGGTTTTTGTTTGGGGGTACCTTATCGAGTTTCTCGAAGGTGTTGGCGCGGCGGGGGATCCAATCCTTGATGGCCTCGCCGGCGACCTCGCACAACCACGCCGGCCAGCCTTGGCTCGTCTTCAAGCCGAACTCCGGCTTCGGCTTAAGCCGGTCCAGAACCGGAAAACTGTCAGTTTGCCTACCGGCGATTCCGGCGGATTCCAACGGTGGCTCGACCTTCCGGCGAGGGCGAGAAGCTCCCGAGGGGCTACTACGAGGGCCATCGCCGGCGGCCCTCTTACCGAGAACGCAACCCATGCCTGCTCCTCCTCCTCCTCCTCCTCAGCTTTGGGCTTGCCACCGCCGCATCAGATTCGTTGATTTGAAGCTGATGGTGCTACGGCGACGAGTGATCGGGAAACCAGTCAAGTGAAAACCACTAGTGGTATTGCGTGTGCATTTATTGGAGTGTGAGAGAAGAGAGAGAGAGAGGGAGAGGGAGGACGGAGTGATATAGATAGATAGAAGCAGTGGTGGTTGGTTGGGATAGTATGGTATTGAAGGATGAGAGAGAGTATAAAAATGGAGTCATTTTGTGATGTGTTGTGTATTTTACTATGGGATTTGTCTGTTTCTGTGTCTGTGACTGTGTTTGGTTTTAATTACGGAATTGAGACTGTAGCAGTCTCAGACGCTATGCATGCTGGTGGTGACGTCTAGCTTTCAAGTCAAAGGGTGGACAGAGAGGAGAGAGTCTGTGCTACACTAGTCATTCTAGCCATTTCATGCATTTATTACTTTGGCCTATTTTTATATTGGATTAAAAATCAATTTTTTAGTTTTTAATTTTTTTTAATTATATTACCTTTTACACTTTATATATATAAAAGTCAAAAAAACAGTTGAATAAAACTTTTCACTTTTTAAAATAAGGATAAGTTTTAAATGATGTAAATAAAAATATAGGGTAAATTATATATACCCTCGAGGTTTGGCTAAATTACAGATACTCCCTGAGGTTTTAGAAATTATATCTCGCCCCCTGAGATTTGTATTTTCATAACAATTTACCCCCTGAGGTTTATATTTCATAACAAATTACCCCTTAATTTCTTATGCAAATATAGCATTCAGGGGGGAATTCGTAATTTCTCAAATCTCAGGGGTATCTGTAATTTAGACAAATCTCGAGAGGTATATGTAATTTGCCCAAATAAAAAAGAAGAGGCCAACTAAACTGCAATTTTTTACTAAGAATAAATAAATATATTTTTTGATTTTTTATAAAAAAAAATATAAAAAAATAAAAAGATGATATGACTTAAATAAATACAGTTATCTAAATAAATACACTAAATCTTATTTTAAAAAGTAGATTAAAAGTTGATTTTTTGATATTTTTTTTTAAAAAAAATTGAGGCCTAAGCTTTTATTTTGGTTATATCTTCTTTCTATTTTTTTAATATTTTTTTTGGTAAAAGATTATTTAAAATTATCTAAATAAATATATTTTTTGATTTTTTATGAAAATATACACAAAGTGATAGAAAGATTATATAACTCTAATAAAAAATACAGTTATGCTTCATACACCCAGTGGAGGTGGCGCCCCCAGTGACGTGGCGCGCCCCCACTGGTCGGAAATCAAAAAAAAAAAAAAAAAAACTGTTTTTTTGGCCAACCCCCAGCTGACACCTCACTGGGTGTCACCCCCAGCTGGGGGTAGGAAGCTTTTCTGTAAAAAATAATGTAACCTAAATAAGATAAAAAAAATATAAAAAATGTACTAAAATAAATTAGGGTAATGCACGCTTGGAACATAGTATATGAATTTAACAAATAATTTTATTCAATGTTGATAATTTCATATACACTCACGTATTACATAATGATGATATATTTATACACTATTGCCTGGATGATAAGGATGATATGATAAGGATAGATACAATTGATATATACATGTAACTAATAAGTGATAGAATAGGAACCAATCTAAACTACAATTTGATATAATCTCAAAGGTTTGAATATTCAAGAATGTTATCACAACCCCCTTCAAGCTGGACATTCTATTTGACGAATTTGCAGCTTGTCACGGATGAATCAGAAAGTTTGTGCCAGTAGGCCTACGGTGAAGATATTCGCAACTTGGTCCTTAGTTGTTATGAATTGAATTTGAAACTCCTTACGAGCTACCTTTTTGTGGACAAAGTGAAAGTCGATCTCAACATGCTTAGTATAAGCGTGGAAAATGGGGTTAGCCGATAAATAGGTAGCTCCAAGATTATCACACCACAAAATCTGTGGGACTGATAAAGGCACACATAGTTTAGAAAGTAAGGATTGAAGCCATGAAATTTCGGCGGACATGTTAGCCAATGCCTTGTATTCAGACTCACTAGAGGAGCGAGCCACCGTCTGTTGCTTCCAAGAGGACCAAGACACTAAGTTGTCAGCAAGAAAAATGGCATAACCACCTGTAGATTTCCTATCATCAACACAACCCGCCTAATCGAGATCATAAAATGCTTGCAGACGAGTAGGAGAGGAGGATTTAATCAGAAGGCCAAACTTAAAGATATGTTTGAGATAGCGAAGGATTCACTTCACCGCTTGCCAATGTTCTTCGGTCGGTGAATGCATAAATTGACAGAACTTATTTACGGCAAATGAGATATTTGGCCGCGCCAATGTGAGGTATTGAAGAGACCTAACCACCATATGATAATGTGTAGGATCAACCATGGGATGTCCGTGAGTAGAAGTAAGCTTGGAGGTGGTGGAGATTAGTGTTCGAACAGGCTTGGATTGTTGCATACCAGACTTGGTTAATAGATCCAAAATATATTTTCTTTGAGAGAGTAATAACCCATGAGTTTGGTAATGAGCTTCAGTACCTAAAAAATAATGTAGTGTACCAAGATACTTGATGGCAAATTCTTGGCCAAGAATGTGAATGAGTTGCTGCAAATAAGTTGAAGAATTACCAATGATCAATATGTCATCAACATAAATTAGGAGATAAACCAGAATACCTTCACTCTGATAAATAAACAAAGAACTATCTAATTTGGATGGAGTAAAGTTGTGCTTGATTAAAAATCCAGTGAGTCAAGAAAACCAAGCACGTAGAGCTTGTTTTAAACCATAGAGGGATTTGTGGAGCTTGCACATGAAAGATGGATGACTTTCATCAACAAACCTAGGTGGTTGATACATGAACACCTCTTCTTGAAGAATACCATAGAGGAAAGAATTGTGAACATCAAGTTGATGGACCTAACAACCTTGTGAAGTAGCAAGAGACAATAAGGTTCGGATTGTGGTTGGTTTAACCATTGGACTGAAAGTTTCAAAAATAATCAAGACCCTCTTGTTGATGAAAACCCTTTGCAACCAAGCACGCCTTGTGGTGCTCAATAGTAACATCGACCCAATATGTTATCCGAAACACCCATTTACAACCCACAATATGCATACTGGGAATAACGGGGTGCAAACTCCAACTGCCATTTTAAATGAGGGCATTAATTTCTTCTATCATTGCTTGACTCCAAATGGGTGATTTATTTGCAGAAGTGAAACATGTGGGTGTGATAACCCTGTTCCGTATTATGCTCATTGATCTTTATTGTGAATGTGATTATGTGTTTGATATGATTTGGTGCGCTATTTGTACGAATATATGCGGTTTTGAATTTCTATTTGTTCACCGTAGGAAAATCTATTTGACTTTCTGCTTTGGAAATTAAATTGAAGGCCTTATCGGCCACAAAACCCGAAATTGACTACGCCATTATGATTGGCATAATTTTTAGAACCTACGGTGAAATTTAATTGAAAATTGATTCGGATCAGATTAATTAGATTAGATTAATGATATATTGCCCAATTATTTAATATCGATAATTGTAATTAAGGGAACTTATATAAGTGGAGCACTATACACTCAATTTCCCTCTTTAGCTTTAATTTGGCTGAATTTAGCTCTCTAGCAGTGAGAGACTCGAAATTAGAGAGAGAGAGAGAGGGGGGAGACAATCTAAGGTTTGATCAAGAAGCTTGGAAATCTTGAAGATTACTCAAGAATTTACTATAGATTGGAAGAATTAAACCTCTAGGTGAGCAATTGAGCATGAATTCATGAGTATAAATTTGTAAATTTGTGTATTCAAGCTAGTTGGGTAATCAAGAACAAGAATTGAAATGAAATTGAAGTTGATATGTTCATGCATGCATAGAATTACTATGAATTGCCATGAATTTGTATAATCTAACATGCAGCATGCCAATTATGCAAGATTGAGAGTTTGATCATACATGCAAGCATGGTTTTGTTGAGTTTCATGAGAATGGACACCATTTGCATCATTTGAAATGGAATTGAAGTAAAAAATTGGCATGCATGTTTGAATATTGGAGATATGGAGATTATATGAAGTTTGAATGCATGAACTTTGATTGTACAAAACAAGTGTTGAATGATTTGAGAATGTGACCATGATCTGGAACAATTGACCTCATCTTACTTGTATACCCATGATATATGATGTGTTTGCATGATTGGGAACCAAAATTATGGGTTTTGAACCTTGGGAGGTATTCAATGGATGGTTGATCCGTGGGAGATAAAACGCCGTTATCTCGCCACTAAAAACGCACCCCCGCGTTTTGACCAATATAGATATGTGTACGAGCAAATTCTTTTTCTTTTCAGAAGAATAAATCCAGTATTAAATGTTACAAATGTGGACAAATAGGTCATTATGCTAATAAATGCCGAGTTAAGATTCAATCTAAGCTTAATGAGTCAACATTAGATGATGAAACACAGCAAAAAATATTACAGTTAATTTCTGACTCTAGTTCTTCATCAGATCCTTCTGATAATGAATTAGCAGCAATATATTCAAATAGTTCAGATCAAGAAACAGATGATAATCCAGAAAATGAAAATTGCCCTTGTAAAACTTCAGTAAACCAAGTTTCCGACGAAGTAAATTATTGGAAAGCTATAGTAGAAATGAATGGACTTAATATTGGTCCCAGTATTAATGTCCTCACAGATTCTGAGCAAAATCTTTTAGAAATTGCAGATGGAATTAAAGATCCAGCTACTAAATTAAAGTTTCTTGAAATGTGCTATAATCAGAAGAAAGTCTTATCCACATTAAATCCTTATGTTAGGAAGAAAAGTATTGATGGACAAACTGTGTTAATAGACACTAATCTTTACAGTAGTCAAGTTGCAGTTCCAAAGATAATTGAATGGGAAAAAAATCTCTTTTCCAGAAAGGTGGAAGATAACTAACGCTGTTCCTCCCAGACCTAATTTAGACGAACCCCAGGAATCAGATCAAGATCCTATCGTTCGAGGTGTCCAGTATTCTAACCAACAAATACCTCATGGAGTATATGAACCACCAATACCACCAAACATTTACTCTACCCATAGAGGATCCAGCAGAGGCCAGTATAGCCCTACAGCCAGTGATATGGATTTTCGTGTTTAATGGATTTTACACCAGGTAGTGAAAATCGTAAGATTCTCAATCAGAATCTTCTACAGGAAAAGTATACAGAATTTAGAAAGTGGTATTTTGTTGTCCATAACAAAGAACAAATCCAGGAATATAAAATCCAGTATTATTTGTATCTGACTGACATACAAATATTGCCACCTGTCTTCGTTA